ATAATAAATAATTATATATATTATATAATTATATATATTTTGTTTTTTATATTACATATTTGTTTTAGAAATTTAATATTACATTTGGGTTGCTGTAATTAAAAACACATTAAACATTTGATACATCAAAAGTTATACATCAGACCAAATTATGAATCTAAACAGAGACTTTGGATTAAAAGCAATACCATGGAATTACTAGAATCGACTATTTGAGAAATCCTCGGCGTCATAATGATGGATCACGACGAGTTTTTCTTCTTGGATATCGTCCAAAGATGATATGTACATTTCGACTGTCTCTCCGTGCTAAATCGGATATTTGTGTCAATTGATGTCTTTTGACCGTGAATATTTTCTTCACGGTCCACTAAATTTAAATTTTATAAAGCAATGATCTACTGAGTCGATTTTTTCTTTCTTTCATTAATTTATTCCAAAATAAAAATCTATCAATATGATCTAATTAATTGATGATAATTATGAATTAATGAAAGAAAGTTAATAATAAAATTAAAAATACTTCTATATATTTTGTAATAATAGATGTTTCCATAAATAAAAAATAGGTACATAAATTTTTATAGATTTTTTAATAATAATAATTTAAAATTCATCTAAATTTAAAAAAAAAAATTTTGATATGACTTAATCGAAATTTTTCAGTGATAGAAGTCCCTTTTAATATGTTGTTATATATATTATCTTACTGAATCTTTGAATAATTTTCTCTCAAATTATTTGTTTCAAAAAAATTCCAAAAAATGTTCTTAGTAGAAAATTTATTTTATTTTATTTATTTTTATTTTATTTTATAAGATAATATAATTTGTATGTAATTTGTATGTAATTTGATGTAAACAATAGTTTTCTAAGTGGAAGCATAGAATATGTCAACTTTATTTTCATATTATGACATCATATATTTTGATACATTTAATGGATGCAAGTGATCAGTTCTTTCAAAAATAAAGAAAGAATGAAACAGAATATTAATGATAGAATTATTATTAATAAGACTCTAACATATAATTCTTGTTCCTCGTTGAATTAGCAAGAAAGTTTTCCATAGAGGCGATTGGGTTGTTTTTCTTTGAACTTTACCAAATAAAGAATCGGAAGAAAGCTGCGTGCGAACGAAATCGCAGTGTACTTACATTTAAGAGAAAAACGTCTCGTCTCGATCCGCGGTTGATTCCTATAAAGGAGAGTGCATACGATTGCGCTGCTGTGCGTGCTCTCTAGTACGGCTAAACGCAAAACTCGTTGAGTCGACGACAAGCGCTGAAAATGGGCGCGGCCCAGAATGTCGATCATTCCAAACACACCACAAACTAGAAACACGTTTGGCCGAAATCAAATTGTTTGAGCGATCATAGTCTAATCACGATATGGAAACCTGATAATTTTATAATAAATATTTTTGAACATTTAGAGAAGAAGTTCTATTTAGTAATTGGATTTTAGAATTTTAGGTTAGCTAGTAATCAAGAAGTATGTTTTTGTTTATAATGAGTGAAGATTTTACAAAGTTTATAGAATAAAGAGATTTATCATTGACGATGAATATGATATGTATTGCTTTGACATATCTTCTATTAATACTTAATCTCATCAGTTGAAATTCCATGAGATTAAATCATTATATGTACGTCACGGAAAATTAAAGACTATACAACTCATTTGTTTTGATGTGGTTACGTGACAAATGAAAATAGTGATTTGTAAAATATTCCTTATGATACTATTGCACGCATAAATATAATAAAGCGAAATAAAAAAAAAAAAGAATACTAGAAAATATTTTGTTGTATTATTTATCATGGAATAATTCATTAATCCTTTTAATGAAATAAAAGAGACACTCAGGCAAATTTAATAATAATTATACAAATCTTATTTTAAATATTACTATTTGTAACGCAATTATTAAAAATTCATGGATTATAAAAAACCGAAGATATTTTTATATTTAACGCAAAACAAATAAAATAAAAAATAATTATTTTCTATTTTTTTGTCTGTTTTTAATTTCTTGTAATTTTATTGTCAAAAAATTAATCGTTTTTTTAATTTAAAATATGTAAAATAGTAATATTTTTCAGAATACTGAGATTTTAAGTGATGTGTTCATATTGAAACACAGAAGAATGATATAGTTTGCTATAAATGCAATACGGCTTCCTTGTAGAATATTTCATAAAAGCTTCATGAGAATATCTTCCACTCAACTGACACTCGCAACGCCCTCGAGAATGAACTTGACCTTCGACCCGAACATTCACCTGTGACAAGGACGACGGAAGTCGGAGAGATTTTACTTCCTGTCATAAAGATGAAAACTATTTTTTAAAAAATCAATCAAACATTCATTGTATATTTTATATATACCATTTGAAAAAATAATTTCAATGATTTATTGCAGATTATTATTTAATGTTTTAATAATGTTTCAATAATTTTCAAAAATCAGATTCTTATTAATTTGATTATCAATACAGAATAGCAGTTTATATTTTCGTTGAAAAATTACAACGGAATTAAAAGAACAACGAAATAATGAAACAATAAACGAACATTTAAATATATTTACCATAATTTTTCCATGTAATGCACTATTAATTGAATCATGAAGATCAAGAATGTTAATGTTTCTATATTATTAGGAATTATAGCGCGCATTTTTGATTTGATCTTTTTCGATGCTATAAATTCGAATTTTTAAAATGATGTTCCATCTTGAAATTCATGAAAATTCACCGTAAGTATTTATTGGTATATATCTGGGATGGAATCGATGATGATAGTGTTTCCTCTATGAAAATATCGTGAAGAATACCGTCGTGCTCTTCAAACGTTCATCGTTCAAGAATCATATCCTACATACGGATTTATAAAAGTCATCTATGAGGCATCAAAATGGTTATAATGCAATCACGCAACGGGAAAAGATATTTCGATCAAGAAATTAGAAAGAAATATATTAAGTAAAAACGACATATGATCTATAATATCCCACAAATAATGGAATTTGGAAGATATAATATAAAAGATATAATAAAAACATGGAAGATGTGAAAAAGCACAACGTGGCATCCTAAATTCTTCCGAAAGATTTCACAACTGTGTCGTAAAAAAAACACTTGTAAAAAAAATAAATTCGATTTACAAACCTGGATTTGGGCGCGTTTAACCTCGGTGTAGAGCCAGTTGTCTGTAGAAAAGGCGATTGCCAAGAGGCCAGTGGCAATGATACCGGTTATGGTCGCGAGGGACAGCGTCACCGCAGAACAAGGCATTTTGGTAACCTCTTCTTCTTCTTCTTTTTTTCCTTTTCTATTTTTCACCGATTTTCTTTCTAAATTCCACTCTGATCAAGCGTTACATTCACCTCACACGACACCACTGCAAGTTATAGATATTGAGGAACAAATAGTCGTTGTCGTCCTCCAGACTATCGAGCATCCGTGAAAAAGTGAATCAGGAAACAGATCACGAACCATTCAGAACGAATTGGTCCAAATGAGAAAGCTTTCAATTCAATGACCGAATTTGATAACCCGATATATGAAGAGGAAACGAGGAAGAAGAAGAGGACCAATACTCAACGATCGACGTCCTTCAGGGTGCCCGATACTCCGTGATACACATTACTATCATTCTCTCCTACGACAACGACACTAACGGCCCGACTCAGCTTGGAGAAAAGCTGAGAACCGACCAAGGAGAGAGAACCGGACTCCAAGTGGGGATGGATGTAGCCTCAGGCAGGTATATTACCTGTGTTTTACCTTCAGCGGTGCTCAATATGCTGCATCCTTTGTTGAACTATCTTCCTTTTGAGCTAAAGAATAACTTCTTTCTTAATTTATCAAAATAATAAAATAGCATTTGAAGTAGATCTAAAAATGAATTCCTCTTTTGTGAAATTAATGTTATAACGCGTTTTTTGAATGAACAAGTGAAATGTGATTTTAGTGTTTTTGTGGAGATTTCAATGCCTGCATTTCTTTGTATATTTATAAAACAATAAATATCAAATAAAATTTGCTTGAATAGAAAAAAGAAATTGATTATTAAATAAAAGCGTAAAAAATATTAAATTTATTGTAATAATTAAAAATGTATATTTGTTATCATAAAAAATGTTTGTATCGAATATAGATTTGAATATTGAAATAAATAAACGAAAATCGAAGGAATTCTAGAAAATGAGAACAGTTTCGTTATAGCCATTTGTCTGCTTCCATAAAACATTCCTTCCTTGTTCTTTTACCAAACAATCCTATAGTACTATAAGATAAAGTTGATACAAACGCTAAGAAAAAGTGTGAAATTCTTTGCATTCTAGAAACAAACCGCGAATCATTTGTTTCTTGTTATTTCATTTAATAATCTTTATATTGCACTATTAATTTTTTTATTACTTTTATTACTATATTATTGATTTTTAATTTTTTTTATAATTTTAATATTATTTATATTTAATTAATATTGTATATAATATCTATTAAAAATAAAATATAATTAAAAAAAATAAAATTACAATAAAATGCAACAAATTTGAAAAACATTTATATATATATATCTGTGAGTTTATAAAATTGCAAATATTAGGTATCATATTATACATACCAAGAATTTTTTTACTCTTCTCAATAATAAAGATTTTGATTTCTTTTTTCTAAATTGTAATAATATAATTATATTTTCATTATTAAAAATATGAAGTACACATAGATATTCATAATATTAGAATATATTTATTGAAGAATACATTTTTTTTTAAATAAATATTTATTACAAATAAACAATTAATAATCAAATTTTAATTTATAAAATAAAATATTTAACATATAATTACAATTAAATAAAAAACGATCGTATATCTACAAAATTCCATAGCTTAATATAGAATTTTATTTATTAATTTATAACAATTAATGAAATAAAAAATGTGTAATAAAAATGTATCAATTGAAATTTACTATTGAAGGATCATATTCAGTACCTTCAAAGGGAGATCCTTTTGCATCCCATGCTTTTCTCAATACTTTTTCCATTTTCTGCACAAAAAATATTTTATATTTTAGTGATTATTATATTATATGTGTAAGTATAAATTAAATAACTTTTCATATGCTTACAATCTGTTCAGAAGTTGGTTTACCAAGAAGTTTTTGTTGATGATTCCACATCAATTCTTGAACTTTCATTTGTTCTTCTGATCCCATTTCATCCAAATTTCTTGAACAATCTATTTTAGTTAAATCAATTTTTGGTTCACCAATGATCAATGCTTCCCACCATCTCTCAGAAGCTTTTTCAAGATGAATCTATGAATAAAATAAAATTATAATATATATTTTACACAAACATATTTAAAATAGCTTAATTTACATTAATATGTTGTCCAGGTACTATACTCCACATTGACTCATCTTTCCGAATTTTAAAGCATAATTCTCCTTTAAAAATTGTAGTCCATACAAAATAGCGACATTCCTCTATTTCCTGATTCTGTTCAACCCTTGATGTTCTAGCTTCTATTTTAATATCTTTTGAATTAATATGAATTCTTAAATCTTTTGCTGTTCTTATACAATTAGGTAGTTTTACTAACACATCTATATCATTAATAGTTTGTGACCAAGTATAATTTTCTCTCACTGCACCATTGTAACTATCAGATGTCTTGTCTTTTTCAAGTAAATGACCAAGTTGATTTGTTATTTGACTTTCTTTATATGTTTCAATTTCTACTTCATGATCAACTTGTGAAATAAGAGAATCTTCTTCTACTGTCATTGATTCATCTTGATTTTTATCATTATTTTGAGAAATAATATCTTGACTGTTTTGAAGATCTATTCTATTAGAAGATTTAGAAATATTCTTCCATTTATGAAAACTATATAAAACAAGTTTTTCTACTGTATCAGTTGGAAAACCAAATTTTTGATCTGGTCCCGATTCAACATAAAAATCTGTACTATAATTACAATAATCATAAATTATATATTGTAAAAATAATATTTACGTTTATATTATAGTATATTGTATACTTACCATCTATATAAAAATCCGAAAAATGCATCTAAAAAGTTTGTAATATTTTTTTCTTCTTGTAAAATTTGCAAAAATGCTTCATCATGAACAGAACACATTACGGAGTTCTTTTCAAATATTTGTTGAATGATGTTTTAATTCCAATAATCGTTTTTTTTTATTAATATTTTAATATTAGTAAGTATACTAACTTATTAAAAGTCAATGAATATATTTTTCAATAACAGATTGTCTTTCGTTTACAAATTATTTGTATATTATTAACTTATTATCTTAAATAGGTTATAGAAAGTATTCTTTAAGATATATTGTTTAGAAATTTTGTTTATTTTATTAATATATTATAATTCACAACTATTAACTATATTTCGTCTTTATAACATAAATTTCCATTGTGTAATAACTAAAAAAAAACTTTAACACATATATACTTTCTTTTATAATTTCAGACTTTCTATTTTTTAGATTCATGTCATGAAATTGAATAATAAGTTGACAAGTGACATAAATTCGTCATAAGCGCCCTCTTCGTTGGATCATTGAATTAAGTACATTATTTACATATTTTGGCATGTTCTAAGAATAGTGACAAACAAATTATATATGATATGTTTTAAAAATGAAAAGAAAAATATTATAAAAGAAAAATAAATATGTATTCATATTTATAAAATAAAACAATTTTTTTGTACAATTTTATATTATAAAAATTTTACAAATTTTAACCTATTCTTTCAACCGAATCGATATATTTGGAATTGGATTATTTACATTCTCATATATTTTAATTATATGAAACTTCTTTACAATGACTGGTCTGCCTATTTTTACTCCTGAAATTGCAAAAGGTATTTAAATTTTACAATTTAGCATTTATATTTTAAGTATTTTTTTCAAAAATAATAAATAAGATGACTTTCAGCTGTTTTAACCGACATTCTGACAGCATTGAATACTCCAGAAAATACTCAAAAACTTACAGAAGCTAAAGAAAATTCTGGAAATGAAATGCTGAAAATGATGCAATTTGTTTTTCCAATTGTTGTTCAAATTGAAATGGATGTTATTAAGAACTATGGTTTTTCAGAAAGTAGAGAAGGTAGAAAATATAAATATATTTTCATTTTAAAATGAATATAATTTTTATTATTAATTTATTACTGTTTTTATTTATAGGTACAGTTCAATTTGTAAAATTACTTAGAACTCTAGAAAGGGAAGATCCTGAGGTAGCACAATTACATAGTCAAGTTCGATCATATTTTCTTCCTCCAGTTCTGAATTCTCATATAAATTGTTCAACTGAAGCTTCTCTTTAAAATATAATTTCAATATACAAATATTTTAGTTTGTATTTTTTTCCTCTTTATAAAACAAAAATTATTTATCATAAGCAATAATCATAGTATTTAATTCATAACTTTACTATAATTTCAAATGCATTTAAGTTTTTGTAATTTTAAAGCAATTTTATAATTACTTTGATATATTGTTATTAAAATTTACTATATAAAAAAAAAGATAATATACAAGGGATCTCCAAATTAAATATTTAATCAGAAAAATTAAAAATTTTTACATTTATTTGTATAATAATAATATTAATAATGATAATAATATAATCTACTAAAATATATAATTTCATTCATAAATGTTCATTAAATTTTCTTTGCACTTACACCAATTCTAAAAACTAAACAATATTCCATTGTTCGCGTAAAAATGAAGTTTGTACATTATATTATATAAATAAAATTATAATATAAAAAAATAAAATATTTTCATTGATATATTATAAATATATATATATATATCATTTATTGAGTATATCGGAAAAAATATTTGAAAACATATAATATTAAAATGTTATGTTTAATAAATATGACACAGTATTTTTTTTATAAAAACTGTGAATATAAGATTACTAATATATTTTCAATTTTGAATTGATTTAGATTCCATTATAATTCTAACTTCATTATTTCGCGAACATCTGGAGAAATACGCAATTAACTATACAATTTCAATCATATAAGCGAATATGTTGAAAATGCATAATAAAACAAAATTAATTATTAATACAACAAAGAATAATACAATGGAATTATTTAAGCAATATTTACTTAACAAAATTTTAATCGTGCAACTCATGTCTAATTTACTTAGGTTTAAGCAGACAAATACAAGTTCCCCTTTGTCAATCAATAAACGTATGAAATCGTTTTTTATATAAAATTGTAAAATGCATAAATATTCTTAAAAAGGAAATGCTGAAGTTTATATTAAGATTAAAGCGAAGTAGTTTTTTTAAAAGTTATTAATAAATATGTATTGATTAATAACTACCATCTTAAAGAAATGATTCATATTTTTTCTTTATGGAATCACAATGATGGTCATAAACGTGAAAAATATTCACAATATATAAAATAATAAACTCAGCAATTTCCTCAGAAACTAAGAAATAATTAGTTTCTAGTTTTAAGTTTTATTTAGAATATTCTACATATTGAAGGAAAAGATTTGACAGTTGGGGAACAATATGCTAACATATTTACAATTTTTTTTTTTATATAAATCAAGGTACAATTGTAAATCGTTTTGCGTATAAAGAAAGCTAATGCACTTCACATTACCCTTTATTTTCATGTTGGTTCATTAAGTTTGACAGTCGAACGAATAAAGACACCGCGTTAAAGAATTTCTTTAAGAAATTTCTAGAATATTTATAGAAACCAACATAAGCATTATATTTTAATAAGTCTCCATGAAACAATAAAACGCATCGATTTATCCATTTATTTATAGAAAAATGCATATTAATTACGGCTGTGTTTGGTTTTCTTTAGTGCATGAAGCCTATGCATATATCTTCAATAATTATCCAAACCAAATGCATAAAATTTCATAAATAAATTTAACTTGTACATATATATGTACTTCAATAATATTAGAAGATATAATTATATGATATAAATATTTTGCAGCTATAAACTGCATAACATAATTATTTCATCTGCAAGTAATCAAGATATTAAACAATGAAAAGTAATGAATTAGCAAAGACATATACTAGCATTTTTCTTGCAAGATGAGTATTAGTCATAAAAGGCATGCCATGACACCAATATTTTTACGAATCACAATCAATGCATGTCACATTAAGCGTAAAACATAAATTGAAAAACCCTGTTCGATATAAATTACTCCTGCAAATCACGACAGTCTCATAATCTCGTTAGCTATAGAAAAGCATGTATATAAATATAAAATAAAAGAAATAATCAATTAATGATATCAATTTATCAATTATAATCTATAGCACAATGAAAATCTTATTCAATAATCTATTACGAATTCAAGATGCATTTAAAAAATATATTATAAATGGAAAAAGTTCTTATAAAATTTAGTTATACCTTGAAAGCATTTAAATGTTCAAAATTGAAATATGATTTCTTTTTAAATTTTTTACTTATTATATATTATCTTCTCTTTTTAAATAATTTTTCCTTCATTGTTAATATGTAATAAAATATAAATTATATAATTGTAACACATAGTAACATTTTCATATAAATATTATAAGTTATAGATTTTCAATTATATGTAGAAATAAATGTTAATGTTTACAAATATAGTTATCTGTTGCATTATTTATCATCAGTCCAAAAGAATTAAACTAGTTATATTAATGTATTTTTTAAAGTTTCCCTTTGTCATTGATTAAGATCAGAAAGGAAACTAAAATGTTCATAATAAATATTTTAATTTGATTAGACATCATTTATATCTATTTATCATTTTTTATATTCAAGTAAAACTATTTCGTAATGAGTGAGAAACTTATACCGTACAGGGTTATCGTTAAAAATCTTGAATACATTTTAAACCACAGTGCTCTTGATTTTCGACTGACACATTCAACGATTATCACCGAGCTACGAAAGGAACGGATTCGCTGTAGTAGTTGTATTCGCTGCCCAAGGATCTTGTCGAATCTGATTAATTGTAGGACGAGATGGCGTTGTTGCCGTCGCAAATGGATTTGCCGAATATGACATTGTTGCTGTAAATTTTTGTTTACATTAATTTATATTATTCTATAATTATAATGATTAATATATTATATTCCATATCATATACTTAATTTTTTAATTTAATATCAATATAAACAATCATAATTTCATATAATTTCATATAAACAAATCAGAAATATAATTTATAATAATAATAATATTAAAAATTTATAGATAACAATTTTTGCTTTTAGCATACATATTTGTTTTAACAATACTTATTAAAACTTGACTGAAATTTGATGACAAAAATATGAAAACAAACATGAAAACATATTAAACTATAATCAAAAAAAAAAAAAGATAAAAATTTCATTTTTACAATATATACAATATCATCACAATTTTTCTAATATATATATCATTTTTTGTTGAAAATAACATCTATGTAAAATATAATGAATGAAATGATTTCAATATCATAATTAAACCATGCATCCATGCAGTATTGTTGAAAGTACATCTTGAAAGTACTCACGAATTTATTTCCAATGAAATGCTGTTTTACAGACAGAATATATTATAAATAATATAATATAATAACACATTGTTTATTTTTATATAAGACTCATAATATATTCGATTAAAATTACAATAAATTAACTTAATCATAAAAATTTTATTCTTTCATTAAGCGATGATATATGCATACAATGATATATCTATAGATTTATAGATTTCAATATTTTAAAATTACGCCTTTAAATTTTATATGATATATGATGAATTATGTTTGAAATAAATTGTTACCTGCAGGTGTAGGCGTTGTGGATTTGATCGCAGAAGAACTGACAAGATTATCAAGATTAACAAGAGCAGAGTTTTCCCCAAGGAACGATTGTGGTGTTTTTTTAACAGCTCCTGTACTAGTGGGAAGAGTTTCAGCTATGCCTCCCAAATCAAATGGATCTGGTGATAGTGTAGTTGCTACAATTGATTTAAAAATATAAGATATTAACATAATTTATAATAATAAATAATACTAATAATTCATTAATAAATACCATTATTTGTAGTTTGCAGACTAGATCCAGGCTTATTTCTGTTAGTAATTACATCGAATTCATCTAAATCGCTTAGTGGACTGGCTACAGAATTGTTTTGATTTCCAATAGGGAAATTGTTAAGACTAGGACCAGTTCCATTGAAGTCATTATTAGTTGTATTGAATGTAGCATTTGAAGTCGTAGGCAAATTAAAACCTATATTTTGTGGCGATTGTGCCGCAAAACCAATATTTTGTGTTAAGGTAGGATTGTTAAAAGATGGAGAAGCAGATGTCATACCATCTCGGCTAGCCTAAATAAATTCATTATATATATATAAATGACCATAATAAAATTAATTAAAAAAAATAAATATCTTACTTGTTTTTTATTTGTATCAACTTCAGTAGTGATAGCAGTAGTACTAGTAGAAGGTATTGGTGACCATGGATCTGTATTAGGTGAAGTTGTAACTGTTACAGGCGATGAAGGAGGTGCTCGCCATGAATCAATTGTAGCAGCTGAAATCAAATTATAAATTAATTATGAAGCCAGTAGAAAAGATAAATTGTAAAATTGCTTAGTTTTTGATCAAATTAATTTTTTTAAATAAATTTTACTTGATCTTTGTGGTACGGGAGTCCATGGGTCTATTGCAGGTGATGTAGTACTTGTTGTAGGAACACTCCATGGATCATTTTGTGGCTATATAATAAATGAAAATATATAAATACAAATTTCTTCTATTTTTAATAAGTTTTTATGTTGCAGTTTATGAACATAATATTTAATAATTATTCAAACATACCTTATATAGATAAAATTGAGATAAATCCAAAGACTATTATGTAACATGCAAAAGGTACATAATGCAACATTTATCATGCAATAAGCAAATTAGAAAAATAATTAATTAAATAAACTTAAATAACTTAATTAAAAAATAAATTTAAAATAACATACTTGAGGTCTGGGTGGAGGTGGTGTTATTGGTATACCCCAAGGATCAGTTTTTACATTATATCCACATGCTTCTTCTAAATTTACATCCAGCAAATCTAGCATATGACTTTGTTTCTCAGTTTGAGGTGCTCTGAAATTAATTTTTTTAGATAAAAACAAAAAATAGACTATATAATTATAAAAAATTAAACCTTATATAATTTATATTAACTTAAAATCTTGTTGACTTTGACTAAGAGCTAATTGTAATCTGACATCATCACTACGTCTTCTTTGTTCTTCTTGTTCTGCTTCTTCTCTTGACATTGCCAAAGCTAATTGTAATTGTAATTCTTCCTCACCTACTGTCTGTGGTCTTGCAGCTTCCAATTCAGCTAAAAATTATATATGTTCATAATATACATGTGCATTATATATGCATAAATTATATATGTAGCATTTATAATTATCATATTATTAAATATAACAATATCTGTAAAAAAATTTATATTTATATATCAATAGCAAAAATTATGACATATAAACATTTAAATTAAAGTATTTACTCGTACGTCTAGTAGTAGTTTCAGATCCTAGGCGACATGGTTCCCAATCTTGAAACTAAACAGCAAAATATTTTGCTTTTAAAAAATCTTCTATTATTGAATTTTTTGATCTTGATATCAATGTATACTTACATCACTGCTTACAGGTGATATAGTATCTAATCCATCACTACCAAATCCACTAACTGATTGGGCAAATCTTTCTTTTGCTTTCAATGCTCTAGCTCTTTCATTTCGTAATCTTTCATCATCTTTTAATAAGGCCACAAGTTGTTTTGCTTTTTCTCTAACATTAACTCCTTGATCTTTAGATCCTTCCATATACTGAAAATCTAAATAAAGAGAAAATCTAAATTAAAAAAATATATGTATAGTGATAATAAATATAGGATATAAATATTTTATATTAAATTTTAAAAATTATAGTAAAATCTAAAATATAAAAATATTTACCTTTTAATGTTTGAATGGCAAAAATATTTTCTTTACATTGTTGTGCAACTTTTTCTGTGCCTGTTTTGATGAGATATTCTAAAAGAACTAAGGCTTTGTATACATGTCGCCAATTTTTGCCATGATCATTTAATCTTTTCCATAACATTTGCATAATCTCAGTGAAAGCCACAACATTATATGTTAAATCAGCAATTTCTGCCATAAGTGTACTGCTTGGACCCCAAGGATCATTACTAGTGGCTTTACGTACAGCTTTCTACATATATAATTTTGTTATAATATATATATCATAATAGTAATAAATAATCATCAAATAACAAACTATTATTTTAATTACCTGAGCATTGCTATAATTATGGGCAAGATTAACAATATCTCGCCTAATACCTGCTAAATTTACTTGCATAACGTCTTGACCTTGTCTTCTCATCTAAAAGATTTTCACTATATATTATAAGCAGGTAGTAATATTCATATTTTTTCTATAAGCCCATACTTATCATCATATACATTCACATTTATATCTATTAAATATGATATATATTAAAAATTTTCAATATCATAAAAATATAATATAATATATATAAACTTTATTATATTATATTATATATTATATCAAAAGTCTTTTTTATATCGAATTGATAATAAATATGGGTAATTATTTAATACCAAAGCCATGCGACTAAATATGCATTAGTAAAAAAAAAAACAGAAAATTATTGTATTTTACAATATTACTTTACTTTTACCAAATTAACATATTATTACTACTTTCTACTTGGTTAGTAAGATGAATGAAAGTAGCTAAAGTAAAAGTATGATTGATACATAAAAATGAAGAAATCCTTCTTAATGATGCTTTTATTTTAGATATATTATTACATAGTTTGCAAATTATATATGAAACAAAATACTATAAAATAATGCAACATGATAAATTATATTTTATAAGTACATAAAGCTCTAAAGCAGATTAATTTTTTTGAGATGTGCCTATAAATATATAATATGTACTTAAGATAAAAGATTTCGACTAAGTATCATTTTACATTACATATGAATATTCATATATATTAAATAATATTTATACTATCATAATACCTTTGCTAAAAGAAAATTATCATAATTTTTATCATTTAAAATTTTTTAAGAAACATTAAAAATGTTTTTTACAATAAATTTAACATTAATGATTTTTTTAAATAATTTGATGCAATACTGACTTGCATAATGTGCAGAACTTATCATTATTACATAATTTTGCAAAAAATAAAACATGAATGATTTTAATTATGTGCAAAAATTGTATTACTAAACACTATAATTTTTATCTTTTCATATATACAGGATGTTATATATATGATTATATATAACATTTTTAAATTATAAAAATATGTTAAATCTTTAAATAAGATTATGTATTTTCAGAAGTTTTTATCTTTTATATAATAATTTATTTTTTATTTCTTTTTAAGATTGAAAGCAAGTAATCTTTATCAACACCCTGTATATTATTATTAATGTAGTTTGTAAAACATTTATCTACATTATTTATTTTTTGAACATTTTCTAATAATATAATTGATTAGTAAAGTTATAACATTGTTATTTTGTTAACTGTGGTCAGTTAATAAAATTTACCTTCTGCATAGCCATTGTTGGCATATGAAATATGGCTCGGGTCGTTGATGAAGCTACTTCTTGTCCACAAATATAGAAAACTCCCAAACACTTTTTGAATCACAACAAAATCCTAGACTATTACATAGTACAATAAATAAATAAGAAATATTTGTTACATTTACCTGTCAATGATGAATAAGTTCTTATTTAATATACAAATGATAATATAATTAAATTAAAAATATTTTAAGTGAATATTCAATGATATATTAATTATTATGCAAATAAATATTGCACAGAATACTGCATTCTTTATTTTTCTAATGCAATATATATTAGAAACTTATGAATCTAAATTAAAGATATATATTACAGTTTAATATACAATACTATTATATTATAATACTATTATATATATAATAAATTTTGTACTTTATATAAATATCATATTCAAAAATTGCTTATAAACTAAATAGGCACAACTCATATTGGATATATAAAATATATTTTTTTTAGCTGTTTTAAATGTTTTTTTTAAAGTTCTATATACAGGATATATATATAAGCATATATATATATATATATATATATATATAGCTGAAGTGTTACAGAAATATTGAAAATAATAACATTTTACTCTATAAATATTTAACATTGCTATTATTATAATAGTAATATAAAAGAATAATAATATATGTAATAAAAGATTACTTTAAAGAAAATAAATATCTTTTTATATTGAAGAGAAAAATGTTACTATATTTATAAAATACTATACCACATATTAAAATATTTCATTTTATGAAAAGCAATTTTATGAAGAAAAAAATATAAGATTAAGAATTTATGAACTTACTCAATTCCTTTAAAGACAAATGCAATTATGAAAAAATATTACTCTAAATTAATTAAAATTAAATAAAAACTTATATTTGCATGGTTTTATATCTAAAACTTTAATGTTTTATTTATATCTATTCTTTAATTATTTTTTAATTTATTCTAAAATTTTCATTTCTTTATTAAATTAACCCATGCTTTTTTGAAGAAATTAGAGTTGCAGTTTTTGTGCAATATTAGTAATATTCATTAAATTATTTTGAAAATATGAAGTATATATTTTGTTAATGATAGAAATTAATTTTCTTTTTATTTCTTTTTTATTTTTTAATAATGATTTTTACAAGCTTTTTAATAAAAGAAATTTAAAAAGTATAAATTAAAGAAGAATATTCTTATATAAAAGGAAGAAAGAATTTAA